GGACAAACATACGCGGCCAAGTGAACAAAGTGGACACAGGAACGGTGCTACTGAAAATATGGAGTGTACACGGAGCTACACCCACAGGAGTGCAATGCGCAGGATGGGAGCTACACCTTTTACTGGGCACAGAATGAAAGCAAAGCCAAGACTATCGAGGAATACGCGAGCCGGATTAGGTGGGCTTTTTTGGATCAGGCTGAGTTAGGGCGTGATCGAGGGAGTGCCAACGGGGATTGTCAAAGTACTTCAATCTTTTCTCTCTTTCTCTTAGTGACCAAGGCAGAATTACCACACAACCAGCCAACAGCTCTCGTCCGCTTTGACCAGAAACTCGTTCTCGAATGGTATGCAGTATGTCCCTGCAGCAGTGGGAATTACTTGCACTCGATTGCAGCGACCAAGAAATGGGAGCGAGACTTTGGAGGTATGTGTGACATCTGGTGACACCAAGACGAAGGGCGCGAACAAGGCAGATTAGGCCGTGTCGTCATAGTTGTAATGGGAAGGACACGACTGGTAGCTTCGGCACTGTGGGTAGTTGTGCCCTCCCACAGGACTCGGTACTGGTCAACGGCCTACAAGAACGAGGAGACGAGGTGGTAGTCATGCTGATCAGCCGAGTCGACTTTGGAGGGGATGGCGGGTTAAACCGGAGTTGGTAGTGTCAGTCGTCAGTGGCTGACTTGGTTCTCTAGCGACTCCTACCTACTCAGGTAAACAACTGCCTAGGTACTTCATCGGTATAGTGACAGGCAGGCTTGTTGGCATGTGTTGGCAAGGTCCTCTTGTCCGTTGCGTTTGCCCCAAAGTCCGCAGGTTGCAGAGTCGCAGGCTCGCAGGGTCACCACCTGGGAACCACTTGGGGTGCCACCCCCGCAGCGTCCAAATCGCACCGTGTCTGCCAAGTGGGTGAACCTTTGGCCCAATCCCAGTCCCAAGTCCCGTGTCAGAACTCCCTCCCTCCACACTTTCTCCGGTTGCCTTTCACTTTTGTCACCGCTTCTCAGACTGCGCTGTCCTTTTTAAACATCTGGTTTTGCTGTGGGCTTCTGCCTGACGGCCCGCGAGGACTTTTTTTATTTCCCAGTTATTTTCACCGTGAACTCCTCCCACATGGAAATTCAACGACTCCCTCCACATCATCTGTCGAAATACCGAGCCTCGAGACCAAAAGGGTGACCAGTACTCGACCTCTGGTCGGCCGTTTGCAGATTCATTAAGAAGATCGACTAATTCCGGTTTTGCCACACGGGCCATACCTATTATTACCACCATTATTTCCCAAGATTTCTCGCTGGAATCAACCTCAGAGAGTGCAACATGCATGAAGACTTGCGCCGAAGAGCCCTTGAGAGCGGCAAGACCGTCTCCAACAAGGCCAAATCCAAGCAGTCGTCAAGAGGAAGTTCGCGTGGCAATTCGGCACCCAACTCGCGTAGTGCTTCTCGAGTCCAGAGCAGAGACGTCTCAGACGACGAAGATTTGGATAAGGGCAATCTCAGTGATGATACTACACAGAGGTGAATCCTTATCACGATTCCTCGCGCTGCCTTGCGCGCTAGAAGAAGTGGGCTAATGCTAGTGATGCACAGTATCAATTCGATCGATGCTCTCCTTGAAACCGACGATATCAACGAGCAGACCTCGGACGTGGCTCGACAAGAATTGAGCGATGTCATCTCGCAGCTGCTCGACCGTAAAGGGAGCAACAACAAGAGCAGGGAAGATGCGCTGGCTACATATGTCAAATGCTTGACCTCGCACTATCTTGCCGAGGTTCTGTACGGTCGTGTTCAAGACCTCGTTAACGCGTTCAGCCGAAGCATCAAAGCAGAAACGAGCGAGAAGGAGACGACATTGGCCCTTAGAGCCATGGCACTTACTGCCATCACATTCGCTGATAGCAACCTCTACGAAACGGTTGCGGCGTCCCTGAAACGAAGTATTTCCGACTCTCGTTCTACTGCCGTTAAAGCTGCGGCAATCTATGCGATTGGGATCTGCGTTTCGTTTGGAGGCGCTGATGAAGAAGAGATCTTGGACGTGATGACTTTCTTATTGGAAATTGCGTCGAGTGATGGTGCGTTTGTTGATGCCGATGACAGTGCTGAGGTTGTCACGGCAGCCTTAAATACATACGGGTTCTTGGCCACTCAGGTGGAAGATCTCGAGCAAGAGTCGGAGGATGCGGTGGCGACATTCCTCGACCAGCTGGATGCAGATGATGCCAAAGTCCAAGTATCGGCGGGCGAGAACATTGCTTTGCTGTACGAGAAATGCTACACACCCCGTGAAGAAGACGACGAATCATCATCTTCGGATGAGGAGATACCTGAAGACGAACTGCCCAACGACCGGCCTCACATGCGATCCTACCTCGTCAAACGGTATAACCCGTACCACAACACGCATGAAGTATTAGACAAGGTGACGGCGCTCGCGTCGCTCAGTACCAAGTCGATGCATCGACGAGACAAGAAGGCATTGCACCAATCGTTTGCCAGCATTGCCATGACGGTGCAGGACCCCCGGCTAGGGCTCCAGTCCAATAATGCCTCTAAGATGGTGGTTCGAGTACATCGGGAAGGTGAAATGCGAGTGGACAAATGGTGGAAGCTGATGCGGCTGCACGCAATTCGAAGGCTCCTCGCTGGAGGGTTTGTTAACCACTACTTTGAGGGCAACAAACAGGTGCTGGACGCGCTGCCGATGATCATGCGGGGCATTGGAAGTTCAGGCATGGCCAGTCCTCGAAAGATAGGCGGCAACAAGGGGTCCAAGGGCAAGTACCGCGACGTGCGACGGTTTGTATCGGCCGACGTGACGGCGGCTTGAGTCGGGGAGGAAGTTCGAGGGATGGTTTGGTCTTGTTTCCATCTTGTCCTTTTCTTTTTATCTCTCCATGTTTGCATCTCTTAGAGCATTTCTCATGTACTTGGACATGTTACCACGAGTTAGAGACACGACAATCATGATTGGCAGAAAGCCAGTATTTAATGAGAAGGTGGGTTGAATATTGGCTTTGTTGCGGTGTGGATCTGATCCGTGATGGGGTGACCCGTGAGCTGGCATGAAGAGGTGGAATCGAGTAAAAGGCCAGACAGCAGCAGATTATGCACGGCCGGTTTCAGATGAGCTAGGACGAGGGATGCTGCTGACTAGACAGGGTCAACAGTACCACCAGTCAAAACAATCTGCATGGTGAGCAGACGAGGTGCTTCCGTGCTGAGGATAGTCGGTGAAGCTATGAATCAGCCAGGCGAATACGAGATGCGGGTATTGTCAAAGGAGGCTTGGGATGTTATTCGTCACGCATTATCCATTCGTACCCGTACTGAGTACGCGTACTCGCCGTATTTGAGGGCTGAGGAAGCTGTGGAGGGCTGATGGAGGGCTGAGCGTTGAAGGCATGTTGAGTTGTGCATATTCGGTGCAGGATTTGACGCAGAGATAGATACTCGCCATGCAAACTTTCTCTTTGCCATGTGCAAGTGCCGTTCATTCAAGATGTGAATTTCTTTGTGCAAAGAGTTCGGGATACTGGCGAGTTCCGTGCTTGTGCGAGAAGCGGCTCCAGTGGGAAAAATCTACGAGGTTCGGGGCGGCCTCACTGGCTTAACTGGCCACTGCCAATATCCCTCCTTTCCACCCGGGCGCCACTTGGGGCGCAGGCGATGCTGACTATCGTGCTCCGTAAGTGACGGGTGGTGCTTGTGTGCCTGCTGATGATTGCAGGTAGTGCAGGGGCTAAGGGGCGCCTAAATGATGGGGGGACAGGGCAGGTTTGATCCCCCTTTCCAGGCTTCACTAGGTACTTGGACCTCGTACTGGCACTCGTAATACCCATGTGTCCACATGTCCACATGTCCACTTTCCCACTTTTTGTCTGGGTCAAGCCAGCGTACGAGATAGACGCCCAGGTATTATTGGGCAGTTGGCTACAGGTGGTTCTTCAGGAGAAATCAAAATCAACTACTGGGGCCCCTGATGGTCTTGCTAGGCTGAAAGGAGCCTCCTTGCCCGGCCCAACTGTAACTCAGCCCTCTTTTGTTGTTTCGCCGCAGGAGAAAGATGGGAAAAGGAAAGTCAAACACTTTGTCGGGGGTTGACGAATAGCGGTGGATGCGTTGTATTATGACCATGACGTGTGTCTTTTGTTGGTTTTACCTAGTAGGTAGGCAAGCACTCGTAGGTACTGGCAGGCAAGGCAGATGCAACTCCTGATAATTACAGCTCCTACTAAGTTGCTAGTTACGGCCTCAACACTCTCAGTCTCTCTCCACCACTGCGTAACTGACTGACTGTCTGATCTCTTTCCATTTTCTCTCTCCAACTCTCCTCCCTCCCATTCTCACTTGCCTCTTCTCGTACCTTTCGGCCTCATACGCAATACGGACACACTCTCTCTCTTTTCACCACTACTTTTCTCTCTCGCATACACTACACTCACATCATCCTCCCTCATCATCCACACTTCCCCCTTCCTAATCCCCTTCCCAGTTTTCTCCTCCTTGTCGATCCTTTTCTTGTCCTTTTTTCTTCTCACACACCTGGATCTTCTTCTTTATCCCTACTCATCTTTTCTCCCTCCCCCACCCTTTCATCCAAGGTTTCTCTAACCCTTGGTCAACCGTTTCGGACCCCCCCTAACGATACCTCTCGAATTGCCTCCTACCTGGGGCCGTCAATTCTCGACTTTTCGCTACTCAGCCTCCGCCCCCGGATCTTATGCTGGCCTAATATACTCTCGAGTACCCTCCTATAACAGCCATACCTGTTCAGTCCCCTCCTTTTGCGGTGCCCTTGATACCCGGACGTCAACAATATTTGCTCAACACAAATCGCGCTCGACCTTTGTCCCGCACGTGACCTTCTCCAAGCGGACACGCGACACCTTGTTTCGGCTTTCACTTTCTGTAACGGCCGTCTAAATCCATGACCTAGACCTCGTCTTCTATAACCCACCTTGACTTCGACTTGTTTTGGCGAGAACAAAAATGGCTTCGATACCCTTCAATGTCACCGCGGCCGCTGATGCAGCGCAGCCTGACATGGGTGGCGCCCAGTTCGCTTCCCATACCTGGATGGAACCAATTGTCCGTGCAACCCCTTTTTGCGAATTCCTTTCTTGCTAACTACCCCCCAGATTGTCGTCAGTATCATGACTGCTTCGCTTTATTTTAATCGGAGACACAACTTCCGCATATTTCGCTCTAGCCGGGGCCGCTCACCTACACGCTCTCTACTCCCCCACAATAATTCCCAAGGCTCGTCTCCCGATGGCTTCACCGACTCTGAGTCTCTCACCTCTGATTCGGATGTGTTCACCTCGTCCAAGTATCCACCCAAGAAACGAAACTGCTGTGGTGTTGTCGTCCAGACCCCGAATTCGTCCAGATTCGCCGACAACTGGCACTCGAGAGTGTTGGCCAAGTTCCCCTTCCTGATCGAAATGTTTTACTGGGTCCTGAACTTGCTCTTCTACACCCTGACCAAGGCTGTCGCTCAAGTTCTGTTTTCCGCAGATGATGGTCTGTGGCAGCTGGCCCAAGACCACGCCATCCTTATCCTGGACATCGAGCATAAATCCTGGCTGAGCTTTCTCTTTCCCATCAGGGAGAATGACTTCCAAGCTTGGTTCTTAGGTGGTCATTTGACCGCCATGACATTTTTAAACCGCATTTATTCACTTGTTCATATTCCGGGTACCGTTGCGTATGTTTTCCATATCTTCCACGTCACCCTTCTTGCCAGCCCACTAACTTGACTCAGGTTTCTCTCGTGGTATTACTATGCTGCTCCCACTCACTCGGCTTTCGCCACCGTGCGCCGAACCATGACTCTGGGCAATTTTGCCGCTTTCGCAATCTTCACCTTCTTCCCATGCATGCCACCGCGTCTGTTACCCGAGGAATACGGCTTTCACGATACGGTCCGTCAAGCGAACGCCGAGTCGGTTTGGGTGGGTGGCAACTATGTCAACCAACTGGCTGCCATGCCTTCTTTGCATTTCACGTACGCCTTCTGTGTTGGGAGTACCTTTCTCTACCACTCGGGCGTGTTCCGGCGCGCCCAGCGGAGTGAACCACGCAAACCCTTCTATGCCCAGATCTTCTTTCTTATCGCCGGCATCTGCTATCCTTTGTTGGTCTTGACCGTTATTGTCGCCACCGCGAATCACTATTGGTTGGACGCCGTGGTTGCCATGTGTACGACTACTCTGAGTTTCTGTTGCAATAGAGTTTGGGTGTTCTTGTTGCCGGCCGAGGATATACTTTGTTGGGTATTGAGAGTGGATAAACCCACGCCCACCACGGGGGATAGACTGAAGAGGAGAAATAACCAATATCAAGCTGTAAAAAACGAGGACGAGCCATAGGGAATTTGGAAATTGCCCGTGTGGTTTTTGTTTTGGGAATCTCAGAAAAAGCAGAGGTCTGATTTCTATGCGAGGGGTATACCAACCAGAATATTTAGGAGGATTGGGTATTTACTGTTGGATATGGTGGGAGGCATCTGGAGAGAAGGGTGGAAGTCTTGTGGAGGAAAAGGAAAGAAAAGAAGGCAGACGCATGGTGATGCCGGTGAATCTCCCAAAGGCGGCTATGATCACGCAGACATGTCAAGCCTGTGCAAATCATCCCTCACCACTCCGGAACGATCCTACAGCATCGGCATCCTCACTGTTCCCACGTTTCTGCAACAAACCCCGAGTCTATCCAGGTCAAAGGGCACCAATGGCTGAAGACCGACCGCGATTTTTCAGCAGTTGGCGTGAACAACCCATACTCCTCGTCACTGCCGGTGGAACCCACGGGTTTCTGGGGATTCTGGAAGGGATCAGAGCCTGAAATGGCCGTGCTGCTGGCTCTTGTTTTCTTCAGACATGGTTTTATAGGAGCGCCGCATCTGTGTCCTTGTTGTTCCACGCATTGGTCATAAAGAAGCATTCATGGTTGAGGGCATATAATGGCGTGAACGGGTTGGTGAAGACCAGGTCTTCCCTCCAAGGGTCTGCTGCATATATTGGATATTGGAATATATCACTGTTCCTATGGGGCAAATTTGATTTCTTTTCTCGACCTGCGAATATGTCGTCAGTCGTCTTAGGTAGTGCGGAAGCAGAAACATGTCATTTGCTCGTCATGTCTTTATTGGGTACAACAAGCATGGATGGCCGGTCCTGGGAATTGACTGCCGGCGTTCTGAGTGAGCCAATGTTTGCTTCACCAGAGCCAGAGCCAGAGCCAGAGCCAGAGCCAGAAACAAGACGCTGGTCTCGTGTCTTGTCTTGTCCCCAACGTCGTCCCAATGTCCTCCGTCCTTGAGATTCAGCAGCCTATTCCCTCTTGCTAGTTTGTCTCGTATGCACGACATCCATTTATACATCCATACAGACAAGCAAGCATATTTGCCGCTCTTGGACGCGGGTAGGCAGGCGGTGTATCATCACCAGAATGAACGTCCAAGGGTGCTTGTTGGAGAGAGAGAGAGAGAGAGAGAGAGAGAGAGAGAGAGAGAAAAGAAAGATCGAAGAGGGGAGCTTGACTTTTTGTCACTTGCCCTTTTAGTCGGGTGAATGGGATATTGTCCAGACAGACAGATGTTCCCTGTTTGATTGTTTGTCTGTCTATCCGTCCGTGCGTCACTCGCTCTCTTCGTCGATACACAGGACGCCCCTGTCTGGCCGTTTCCTGAGGACGTGTGTGACTTCTTGATTCAATCGATTATGAGCGCACATGTCGGTCTTGGCAGTCACGGCCTTTTGGCGATGCACGAATCGTCCAGCTGAGGCTCTTTCTTCCCAAGAGTTGGAAAAGTGAAGCGCATGGATTCGGTTGGATCGTGTCACTTAGCTGTTTCGTCGGTCTGTACATATTTTCAGACAGAATGATGGTGGGTGAATATAACGAACAATGGCTGCCAAAGTGAAGAACAGATCGTCTTCGTCACTCGCCCGATTCGTCGATCCACGAGTGCCGAAGTGGTTGGGACATCTCAAATGCACCCCCGTTTCTTGCGACTCGACCGGGTCATTGGCCGACATCTCGCTGAGCACGATCACTCATGACCATACAGGGCGTGAGAACCTAGCATGGAAGGTTCCTCTGAACTCTAGGGTAGAACAACACACGGCCTGAGATCATGTGCTAGGTCGTTTCCAGCATCGTAAGGTCTGTGGAAGCGAGAAAGATTGGAGTAAACTTTTGACGTTGGCAATATCTCCATCCCAACCCATGCTCTTTCTTGCTTCGCGGCATTCGCCGCCCAACACGGCCGGGTCGGCGACGAGTTGAACATCATCTGGCTAGAACTGACTAGGAGGGTCATGCTTTCTCCAATGAGAGGCGATTGATGGAGGAATAGCTGCTGAACGAGAGAATTTGGGGTTGCGACGGCGGTGGTGGTATTGGTCATCAACTTCCTCACATATCTTTCTCTCTTTGTCTTCTCTCCTTTCCTCACCCTTCTCCTCCCTTATTTTTTACTCTTGACCTCACTGCCATGTCCACGGTGGCTAATTTCAAGGCAACCCTTTTCTCCAGTCGGCTACTCAACTCTGAAAGACATGGCGCGACGGCCATGTGCATGCTCGTATATTTCGTAGCTGGATCCCTTTGCCCATGACCAGAGTCAGTCTGATCGAAACGGTTGATCATTCACCATAAGGCTGAAGGTTGGACCCGGAAATTTCTCGGCGTGTGCTTCTTGTTATTATGGCAATGGTCTTTTGACCAAAAGCATCGAACGGCCACTGGTCTTCTCGTCCGAGCAGTTCGTTCCCTTGCACTAAACACGGAAAAGGCGACATCCCTGTACTGGAGGCCTGACACTGAAAGTTGTTACGGGAACTCATACAACCCGAGCCGGGGTGTGGGAGGCGATCCGCCTGGAAGTACTGGTTCTGTCCTGTCTCACTGGAGCTCCAGGCAATCTGATTCCTGGTTCGGTAGGATGAGCAAGTCGTACTCGCACATTGAGATTGAGCAGAGCCTGGTCATGTCGGAGGATAATGTCTGTCCTTTTGCCATTCCTTCCCTTTGATACCTGGACTCCGGAAGTCCTGGCCCCATCCCACCGGACCCTCACCCTCATCAACGCACGGACATCCACGAGTCCATTACTAATTTGGCTTGGAGTGACGGGAATTGATGGGCGTGATTCGTCGGATGCCAACCGAAGCCCCTCGTCGTACTATACTCGTAGGAAATCCCAGCAAGGAAAGGAAGACAAAAGTAGCCGAGTGGGTATGTGGACAAAGGGGAAGATCTTGTTGGATCGCATAGGTCGTATTCCTGGCCGTTCTGATACACAATGGCCTTGGTTAGCCACCGGGAATGTCACAGGGTCACTAACCCTACTTGTACTCCATATACCCGCCCGTCGCCTACCCGAGCATGACCAGTGGTACCCGTGGCGTCTCAAGGTTGTCGGATAGATTTGTGTGATTAGTACAGGGTTCCTGAGGCTAGGCAAAAGTTTTTCTGTCCCGTTGGGAAAATCTCTTTATCCCCCTCGTTAACAAGTCTCGCTCAAGGCGTTGCCTAACCGCTGTGTGGCGAGAAAAGCGTCTCCTTCCTGGCAAAAGAATGCAGGGCGAGGTATCTGGACGTGCTGAGACTGTCAGCCGCCTCTTCGAAGAACCGGGGGTGACTCGGCAAGTTCGCGAACTTGGAAGGAAGCTGGCAGCATGGACTGCGACCAATTGTGCTAAGGAGCGAGAGGAAATGCCTTATCCGAAGTGGCAACTCGGTTCGCGCTGCAATCTGATCCCGATGCTCGTTTGGTAGACTGTTGTTAGCCCATTCCACCCTGTCCTAGGAACTGCTCGTGCGGCTGATGCAGGAAAATGGACCTCAGACACGGCCAGGATCGACGCCCTATAAGGCTGAACTGGCGGTGAGAACCTCTTGCACTGCTCTAAGCCGCAGACTTGTTGCCGCTTTGCCCTGAGGATGCGAGGTTTCTTTCTCGAAGGTCGTATCTTCCTAGGTAGTTCAATCTACTGTAGGTGGTCGAGCGAGGTCCCTTGCCGGTCGTTCCTAGTAGGCCGCCTCCTAAGCCGGGGTCTGGGATGGATGGGAGCTGCTGTTCCAAGGTATCAATTCTATCGTTCGAGGGCGCTTGCTTTTCGCCATTGAACCCCTCAGTTGGCCACGCAGGATGGCTACTGATCATTAGTAGCTGAGACTGCTTGTCCTCAGTGGTTCCCGTCATCGTACACTCGACCGCCGACGCACAGCCTTGGCCCAGCATCTTCTCCAATGCCGTGCCAGTAGATCGTTCCACAAGAATTTCTTCAGGATCCCCTCTAATGTCTCCCACCGGGCCGTCTCTTCCGGGTATTTGTCCAAAGTTTGGTCCAGCAGCATACTCATAGCAGACAACAGCTCAGACTGTTCGAGTGCACCTGCAGCTGCCAAAGCTACCCAAATTAGACATTCTCGATGGTTCTTCTGGGCTTTTTCTTGCTGCGGTCGAGGCTTGCCATTGCCAAGGAGTCCATCTTCAAGCTCCTGGAGTGTCTCGTTGAACTCTTCGCCGATCTTACCATCCCCAAAATGGAGGGTGAAGCACGTCCCAATGACGCCGAAGCAGAGCTTGTGTTCGATAGAGGTGGTGGCCATTACCGACAGACACCTCAAATCAGCGATTGTGTTCAGCAAGTTCCGTCCTCCGGGGGAGCTTGGGGGCGAACTGGTAGGCGTAGCACTGCCATCGCCCCTGGCTGTTTTAGATAGATTTGCAAGAATGTCGATCATCTGAATAGACATTTCCCCCGCCATAGCCATGTCATTGAATGAGGTGGACACCTTCGAGAGAGCCTCGCACACTTTGATATTGAATGGGAGAGATGGATAGAGGGGTAGTTCGTTTCGCATAGGTGATTCGATGGAGAGCTGCGCCATGCTGGTGGTGGCCTCGTTTCTATCTTTGACAAACTTCCACAGGGCATCGTATCTGGCCAACTTAGAGACTGCGCTTGCGAGGGAGATTGGGAATCTTACGCTTTCATGGCAGAGATGACAAAGTATTGCCACGGTGTGTCACCCTTGAGATCGGTACGAATCTTCCGAATCCGCTGCATAGCATTGATGTGGTTATGTGCACCTTCGTGAACACCGAGCATGTACTACCAGATCCATTAGACCTCGTTGATCTGACAACGGCCTTGCACTTACATCGATCGTCGTAAGAGCCGCAATGGTACAGATAGTGGTGTCGTCCGCACACGTTGCTTCAGACGTCAGCCTCAGGCGAAGCGCGGCGAATGCGTTGGCGCGATGATATGCGAGGGCGCTGTCCTTGGACCATGGAATGCCTTCTTGTAAAAGCCATGACGCCCGGCTGAGCGCGACCATGGCTTCGAACAAGACAGCGTGCTCCAGGGCATACGGAAACACCAGCGACTGATATGGCTTGGGATGGCCTTCAAAGGCAAGTGCTCGACCATGCTGCTCCGCCCAAACCTGCAAATCTGGATATATGATTAGCGCCACTTCGGAAGAATCCAGTCTTCGATATGTGCTCACAATACTTCACCATCCGCGGAACCACCCCTTCGTTGGGAATGGGAAAGACATTGACTGGCTCCGAGTGGAAGATGTTGACGGAAAATCGAGGTAGCCTGATGGCCTTCCTTGTCGGAAACACTTGGTCCTCAATGGGCGACTTTCGTTTTCGACGTCGGTTAGAAGACAACTCCTCATTGTCGAAATCCCATGAGAATCGCTCCGATGCTGCTGGTGACCGGGCTGGTACGAGTGATGTAGATGAGGTCTTCAGCTCCAATTGAGGGCGATGTGCCGGCTGACGGCTCTGAGTCGCATCTCTCTTCACAGCGGGGGCGCGCGGTGGTGGTTCCTCACCGATCGACGGTGAAGGATTCTGCAGAAGTAAGTGTTCTATTTTGATTGCCTTTGCCATGCCTTCGGTAGCGACTGTGCAACCATTGTCGGCGGAGCAATGGTATGAGGCTCAAGGATCGTCGCCCGTACTTTTGAACTCCTGTGGCTCTCGTGAGGCAATGCACACGAGGCACCAGCAGGCCTTGGGCCTCTAAAGAGAGCAAAGGCCAGCAAAAGGCAGCTTGATGTCGATCGAAGCGGGGCCAACAAAGCGCTTACAGTTTGTCAGCCGGTTGCCAGCCAGAATGCCAGTGTGAATTCGGAGGAGTCTCGAGGCACAGTAAAGCAGCGGGCGCACCTGTTGCCTGATCCAGTGCAAGCAATCGAAAATTGCGCCTGATCCGTGGTATATCGTGTGGCGTCGGAGGATGATGCCTGCGATTGGGTAGGGAGGCGACGGCATGGGATGTGGATAACACAGGAGGGTAAGATGGCTACCAGTACTGGCGCACAGACACACAGACACATCCACGTACTCAGAGACAGACGGACGGGGTTGTACCCTTGTTTAGCAATTCTGATGAGTGGTCGCATAAGACCGCGAAGATACAAGTTGGTTGGTTCGCTTATCACAGACTGAGGGCTGCCAGATGCCAGGTCGGATGGTGTTTCTCTGGTTGCCCCCGGTTTGGCCTGGAGGTCAAGGGGGCAAAACAAAGCTATCGAAGACAGTGCTGACATCCGCTTCTTCGGGACGCTCTAGAGGCGACTTGAGGTCAGCCGACGCGGGGCGTGCTGTGGGCTAGCTGTGGGCTGGCTAATGCCTGTCCGTTCGCACAGTTGTGTACCTATGCTTTGGGTTTGGCCGTCCGTGACAAACATTCGCATGGTGAAGTTTCAGTTCGTACTGTTCTGTCAGGGATTTGTGGATTTTGTGGAGTCAGGCTGGCTTCTCCTTCATCCGTCCCTCGCCTCTTGCTCGGTGTCTATCCATCCCAAGATCCGGGACTCCTTATCCAGCAATGGGAGGTCGAAGCCAGGAGGGTCGGTGGAGACTCGTGAAAAGCTTCCCAGTTGGCTGTGTCAGGATCCGCCAACCAACCCTGTTCGTTTCCCGACGGTTCTTGAGAATGCTTGTTGGACAGCCCGCTAAACTCTCTCGAAAGAATCATGGCCGCTTTTTAGCCCGAGGACCCGACAACAAGGACGGAGTACGAGTTCTGCGTACTTGTACTCATGCGTATGTTGACGAGCATCGCCCAATCAATATCACTGGCTCTTCTCCCGGTCATACTATGCTCCGACGTTGTACGCTCCAGACAAGTGTGCATGGGCGGTATCTTCGCATGATTGGTGATATATCATGATCCCTAAGCCTCTCCTGTCGCAAGCGATGCAGCCGTCGAGACTTGTCCCATCACAAAGTGTCCAATTCTCCCTGCCTATTCCGTACGAGTACAGTACAAGCACCTCGAAGCCTGGCACGGTGTCAATTGCTCTCGACCACTAGACTAAGATTGGGAACGTGCGAGGACATCCTCTACCAATCAATACCAATCATCTCACCCCCTTGATTGCAGTTGACACCACACCGACTTGAGGCGCTGGAGACCAGTGCCAGAATGAGAATGGTAGAAAGCAAGTTGTAGTTCCATTTTGTCGTTGTCGGTCCTTGGCTGTGTTCGTGGTTAAGGTGAGAAAATCATCAGCAAAAGTAGAAAGCCAAGGGACTCGGCAAGAAGGACACAGGGAACGAGCGCTGGCTTGTCCGTCGAGTTACCTCTCGACAAGAAGATGAAGATCCATGACAACTGATGCGAATAACAGGTAGATATGTTGGCTTGAGAGCGCGAGTCCTTCTCACCCGTCACCAATCGATCGATGCCTTGCAGGGCAGTAGTGTTCACTCTGGGCTCTCCTGGTCCTTCTCCTTCTCATTCCGTGCCCACCAATGGTTCGCGTACCCATTGCTCGCCCAGTCAGCGACGCCATCGACCCAACCTAATTTCGCAGTATCTCCAGTGAGTTGCTCCTCCCAGACACAGTCACACTCTCCACTGCTGTTAAAACTCAACGTCAGGTCGCGGTCCAGTTACATACATTCTTTGCTATGGATACATACCCATGACAACGAAAGTAAACAGTATGGAAGTTGCAAGCTGCTCTTTGCGTCAGTGTCTTCCAGTGGGTGTGAAGTCAACGACCAACACCTACTTCCCCACTCATGACAGATCAGTGTGCCCTGTCGGTCGCAGGCGCACAGATCGTAGCACCTCAACGGCGTCAATGCCCAGGACGGGGAAGAATCGGTCGAGCTACCGTTTCTTGGTTTCAGGTCGGTATCACGCTTCGCGTTCTCGGGAGACTGTGGCGCCGGTGGAGGGTTGTTTTCCCGACAGTAACCGATATCGACGCCTGGCAGTTGCTTGAATCTGTCAGTGAGAAGCCATCCATAGTGGGGAGGCGTATTTACTTTGCATTCGACGTGCCAACCCCACGCGGATGGTAAGACTGCAGTGTTCCGAACATCTAGAGTTCTGCCGACATCCCGCGCAGCACTCTCATCCTCATCACTCTCTTGAGTTGGTGCACTGGTGACAACCGACAGAAGGAACAAGAAAAAGGGCAGGAAGCAAAAGGGCTGAGGGCAAGTCTTCATGGCTACTGCTGATGAAGACGACCTTGAAAGGACTTGGGACGATAGAGCTCGCGCTGTTGTGGGAAACGATCACGAAACAAAGAGAAGGACTCCGCACCGCATGAGGCTGTACGGGTGTTGGTGTTGGGAGATGAATAGAAATTTGGTTAAGTTGGTAGTGAAAGAAGGCAGGTGAAGTGAATGTGTGCGTTAGGTTCACATGGGCAACAACAACAGTACGAAGCTGTGAGGAAGGTGCCACGTCGAATAGCAATTACTTCTTCACTTCAGTCGACGTTCCAGACTGCGTTGCTGGTTGCTCCCCCTGTCCACTATCATCTTTCAGGGTCTTGATCTCAATGATCTGGTGGTGGCTTCAGCCTCTGTACCATCCGGAACTCGTCAAGCTAGGTGGGCTTACATTGTTGCCTATTACGCAGAGTCAGTTTGTTGGTCTTGGAGACCATGTTATATAACACTGACAGTCAGCGCAGTGACCCCAGTCTCCCTCCTTTGTCAAGTCTACTCTCCCACCGCAGTTAGGGCACTTTGGCATTTTGAGAAGGATGATACGGCTAGAGATAGGGCGTCGAGGATAAGAAAACGGATGGTCGGATTGCTAAAGAGTGTCGAGCGAAGAACTGAGCACTTTGACAGAGAGATTTTATGGAAAGAGCTTCGCAAGATACTCAGGGAAACTGTCATGAAGATGGTTGATAAAATGTGAATCATGTGCCATGCTGCTAGCAGTAGGTGCGCCCGTTAGAATGAGCACGTGATGAGAACAAATACGATGATGTAAGCGGATACTTGGGTATTACCAGCATCTTTGCAGCACATCGACCAAGCCCGGAACACAAGACAAGGGTGTCAATCAGCTCTTGCTATTTCCATTGCTTCCCTATCGCTCTTCCATAATTTCCAAGATACATCTTCTGGCCGCGTGGATTCGCAGGTGTTCCATTGGTTGTGCTTGGCGACTCACTCTCGCTCAGGCTTTTCCACACCTCCGCAATTGTCGCCCGTTGTCTAGGAAGGACCGAATACTGCAGCCCATACATCTGGCTTCGACCAAGAGGTGGTACAAATCGTCCCGTGAGGAGCCGAAATACGACCGTGGGCGACAGATAGTGCTGGCGGATGCGTGCCCAGAGCTGGAAATATTGTCCAAATATCTGGTTCAGTGACAGTGGGGTCGAGGAAAGGCGAATGTAAGCCACGCTGGTGGTTCCATTATCATCTCCTCCTTCCTCCTCTTCCTCAGTGTCGCCAACGCTGTCGTCCTGATCATCTCCTCGCTCTGTTTCTTCCTGGTAGGATGCCCGGGTCTGTTCTGCATCCAGGAGCTGAAAGTGAACGCCACCTGGCAACCTTTTGCTGTCTTTGATTCTGAGCATCAATGCAAACAAGGGGAAATGGTTGAGACATGCTAGACATGTGTCCAGAGTGGCTTTCAGCGAGATGATTGCCATACGAGCCGAAGCAAAGGTCAGGTAGAAGACTACCACAGTTGGCAGAAGGAAGAACAACAAGGTGAAAAGAATCGTACCCAACAAGAGTTGATCGAGATCGTAGTCGCAGTTGTCGATACGATTGCGAAGGACGTTCCGCTTCTTGCCACGGAATAGGTGAAAGAGGCTGACGATGATTGTCAATTGCCAATTGAAGATGCGCGCACTTGCGACGTAAAAAGAGTAGATATGCATAGTAAGCAAGCTCAGGAGGTCGGAGAAAATGGCGATAGGCATAGTAGCCCCAGCAAAAGAAGAGCATCCCACGACATACACGACAGTGGGTAGTCGTGGAACAATGAGCACAACGATTGTCGAGGCCCAATATTCTATGACCCACAAGAAAAGTTCGCCGAGAAATGTAGTAAGTTCCGTGTTCAATTTGAGACCTCCTGGATACGACATGAGCCACCTGATCATGCGTTTGAGGCCTTCAATTGTGTACTCATTCAATACCCCACCGATCAGCTGAGACGTAGCTTGCGCATTGTCACTGATGAAGCTCCCAAGTGCGATGCCAATAATGACATCATTTGCTACCAGCCAAAGCGAATTATAGAAGCGAATGTAATCACTATTTGTTGTCGGAAAGGATGACCAAGTCGCTTTGCGGCGTCGGAGAAGTGAATATTGTGTCGGATAGTAGGAGAATTGTTGGAGTCGAAGATGGACTTGTTGACAACAGGCCGAGACATCCTTCAGGGCGAGGGTTCCCTTGGTTGCTCGCCGGCTCTCTATAGACTGTAGTCTTTGAAAGGGCAGGGGCAGTTCCAAAAGTCGCAAAAGACCTTCAGCAACGATCCTGTGTCCAATGATCGCGATTTTGAAAATGTTCAAAAGCGTAGGGAAGGCATACGCCATGAACAGTGTCCAAAGCGACCACGCCGCAAATGTGTAGAGTGACTGCGCCGATTCCACGACTCGTTCGCTCACAGAGAGGCTCCTTTTTCGGCGCGGACCAACAAGAGGCGTGTTCTTCTGGAGCAGCTCTGCAACTTCCTGGGAGCAATTGATTTGTCGGAGGATCGCGGGCAACGCCAACTCTTTCTTGGTCGGAACATGCCTGATCACGGTATGAAAACGCAACTTTGCGACTAACTCGGCGACGCGCTCTCGCTCTTTCTCTCCCTGCATTCCATTCTCGTCAAGCGTCGAATCGGGCGCACCGACGGCCAAGTATTCTCTGCCCAGAGCAAGTGATATTGGCTCAAGAGACATGTATTGCATTTGAGTGGGGTTGGGGGGGTCGAAAAGAACAATTTGCACGGTCAACTCTGTACCGGGCGGACAATAGATCGAAGGTCGCCGCGCGCCTGGAATGGTGAAGGCGCAGATTTTGAGAGGATCAAAGATATCTGGTGGGTCTGGGTGATTGAGGGTACCCAGAACATGCATATGAGGCTGGTCGCAAAGCTGAAAGATTCGGGCCACTGGGTATGGACTGTTGCGAAACAGAGTGCCCATGCGAAGAGCAGATTCAACGCTGCGGACCTGGCGTATGTCAGCGCTGGTTTCCGCTCATTTCTCTTTGACCGCCCTACTTCAACGTCTTCAAGGACTGTTATAACAAACAAATCGTACTCCGAATTCCTCCATCCTACCATTACACCGGGTGTGGTTGTCCGAGTAAGGCTGCTCGGCCAGAATACCCGTAGCATGCCATCGCTGTTCTCGACCATGATAACATATTGTCAAGGCCTAAAAGGAGCCCCTCCGACGTAGTTGTTCTTGAGCGGAAATTCCATGCGCTAGGATTCGAGGATGGACGGCGGCTTCGTGGGAGGCAAGACGGTCGAGAGGTATGGCGAGAAAGACGTAGATGAGGGAGATAACCGCAAACGCTTTCGCCACACGTGCAAAGACCCCGTGGTACCAGGCAAATATTGCTAATTCATAGAGTCTGGTAACAAGATCCCAGCGCGCAGTGATGTATCCAGCAACGAAGATTCCAATGGTCAGGGAGGAGAAGGGGTGCATGGAAGCAAGCTGGCCAGATGAGATGTGCAGAGCGGTCAAGCACACATCCTGCGAGGCAACAGTGTGACCTCAAGCACTTGAGTTCAGACAGCAGAAGCTCTTATGAAGACCGGAAGAAGAACTGGCAGTACTGCAACTTTACACGCCTACCAGCAGAGAAGCAAATGGTGGCAGAAACGGTTACGGAGGCGCATTTGTACGGGAGCGCCAAAGCTCCTCTGTTGCTATTACTTGCCGCCACAAAGCGGTCGATGTCTTCCCTTTCATACATAACATGATTCATAATTAGATACAGGAATGCAGTAGGTTGTGCTGATATGTATCAGGACCGAATAGGACCATCCGTGGTAAACTAGCTGCCTTATGGTCCTCTACAACTTCGACGCAGCTTTCAACCCGAAGGATTCAGCCTTTTCGACATCACTTACCGTCAACACGAAGCCTCACATAATTCAGAGCTTTCTGTAATCATATATGATATGCTTGTCACGAGAAAAGCTTCGCTGAGCCCACGAAAGACAGGATCAAACCACGTCTGTGAACTTCGCTGGCAGGTTCAGGAAGGGTCTGGTGTACAAATCTCTTTGTTTCAACGCAGCCTAAACTGCTTCCTGCTTCCTCATTGTCGCCGCCTCTTTGCTTCTTTCTGGATTGGTAGCCTTCATGTGCATAGGGATGGTTGAGTAGCAATGCGTCGTGGAAGTCCTTGAAGTACAGACCACTTCGGTATACTTGCCTGCCGTTGCGACATTTGACGCTAAAGTACGCTAATATCTCTAGCGGTCGATCATCCGTGGTTAGCGTTGTATAGCTCCAGTTGCGATTAATGTGTCTCATGTCTCTCACCTCGTTGTAGATTCCTCGTCTTCTGTACCACAACGTCCAGTATGATTTGACAAAGTCATCCTCGTGCCGTGTAATTCTGTCAAGGTAGCGGCCACGGGACGCCACCAGTAAGTGTGACAGATCGGGGTACATTCGTTTCGCGTCCAAGATGAGACCTTGCAGCTAGCCGATGGTGAGGTTTCCAGCCTCCCGAATTTCGTTGCAGAGGTGCGAAAGAGCTGGCTGGCCGATACAGGGCATCTTCTCTCAACAACACCAGACTGAGGTTGGTTTGTCGTTTGTCTGTCTGCCTGCCTTTTTTTCCCTTGTCGCCGACTTCGGCCTGTGTCCGTGTCGTCGGGCTCTGTCTGCAGGCTTGTGCAGCCGTCGAAGGTCGGAACGGAACATCTTCGTGTGGCTCTTCGAGCGAGCGAGCGGGTGGTCGCATCTGGCGGAGGGGCAACAGCCATAAGGAGACCTTTGTTGTTTGCAAGCCTTCCACTTGTGAGCTTGCGCAAGCACCAGCTCCGCTGGGGTGGCGGATAGGCGCATCGCATGGCAGCTTCCTACGCTCCGCAGCGGATTACTTGGCTTGGATCGAATTGGGTTGATCTGATCAGTGACTGATTGCAACTGCCCTCCAGCTGTGATTGCTGTGAACCGCCGACCAGACGACAGATCGCACTAGTGGCCTGGGTCGATCTGCAG